GAGATCTGACAAGTTGACTCAGGTTACGTTGGATGTGGTATTCTTGGAGCGTATGCATAGCTATTGAAATAACTTGTTTTCGAAATGGAGATACAGTGTATGGAACAGTGACTTTGTTTATTATTAATCAGCTTAGTAAGGAAAATAAAGAGAGAAAGAGTGTGTGTGTGTGTGTACAAGGATAAATGGTTCTGGACAAATGAAAGTGAGATGAGAGAGAAACCAGTATTTAAATTATTAATACCTGTTTAAATTTTCTACGTTTGTTAGAATATTAATTTTACTCTCAAACATATGTAAAACTCTGTAAATTAAATAAATGAAATTCATTATTCACCATGTTAAATGAAGAGATCAAATGATGTTTCACGAAATCGAGTACAAATTATATAGAAAACAGATAAGAAGCATGAAAAAGTTTTTTTAAATTCGATGAACGTTTCTTTAAAAATTGTTAAAAATATTTGAAATACAGTTTCACATATTTTGTGAGCTGTATGAATCTATATCTGAAGAATATGATTGAGAAGAATGGGAAGAATAGAAAACGTGTATAAATCTCAAAGAAGCAAAAACTTTGAACTTCCAAGTTTTCCTCGAGTTGATAAATTCAAACTGACTGATTCCACGAATTCTCCAACTTCAAAATCGCGAGATATTTGTCGAATTGCAACATCAAAAGTGAAAAACGTTGTGATTCTTCTATAATATGTTTCATAAATAGGTGCATCAAATTTTAATTTACTCTATCTAAGAGTAAAGAAAGTTCATGTTGATTCAGACTTACTTATTTATATATAACATATTCTTTTTCAAATATGTGGAAAACTACATAAAAATTTAGCTACTTATTTCTGAAACACTCCATACATTCGACACTAGAGAAGAACGAATAAAAATCTCTCGAATATTCTTCACTATATCCTTGAAAGCCTGCTTCAAAAGTTTTAAATTTTATCCTCACTTGAAATATCGTTAGATGATATTATTTAAAAAGGCATCGATAATTCAAACCACTAATGATTATTTAATGATCACTATGCAAATACAGAGCCACGTCTATTCACATACATATAAACAAACTAACACATACTCGAACAAAATATCTCTTATCTCTCTCAAAATATCTCAAATTATTTATTTTGACCCTCGTACCAACTTCTCCAACTTCATCATGTACCTTCCATTAACTGTACACACATATCTACGATCAGGATGTCACCGTCTGACACTTTAATACACGACCAGGCCATATCAGTTTCACTAACTCTGCCTCTCCTTCCTCTCTCTCTTTCTCTCTCTTTCATTTTTCCCTTTTTTCGATTTACGACCATCAAAGAAGAAGTTGCATCGTCGTTCTAATTCCCAGTTACATGAGTCAACGTAGAGTTCACCAGAGTCACTAGATTTCCAATAGGCCGTCTAAGCTAAGGATAATTGTGTTTAAACAGTGGACAACGTTTAAACGCGATTGGTATTTTACTTGGTGTCGGTTGAGTGGCAACAACTTGGCCGGGAGAAAGCCTGACAAATGCAGATTTCATAACGTGACGTGCTTTGCGTGGCTCGGTTCCACCGCTTGTGTTGCAGGTCTTCGAGGCACGGAAAAATCCATGAAACAGCGTCAAACAGCCGATCGAGTCGGGTTTGAAATCTCGGTGTCCAGTTGCAAACTAGAGAAGGCGATCTGGACGAATGGATATCAAGATTATATTTTTATCTTCTTCTTACTTTATCAATCTTTTTGGCGAAAACAGCTTTCATATTGATAAAAGCAACAATTATATTTTGAACTCATAGATTAATTGAAAGTCATCCTAATTGAAAGTCTGAAAATTATTTTATTTAAGTCGAATTGAATAAATATTTTTTTGTCAAATTAGTTAAAAACTTTTAAATTGGTTGATTGAATTTCTATGGGAAAATGTTTCTATACAGGAATGAATTTTCTGTATAGTTGTCTTTTGACTATCAACAGGTTGTTTGGACGAGGATTGAACTCGTTGGATTAACTATCAGGCTCTCGAGATTTTGGATTATGCAAAAACAAGAAAGTTTTCTTTCGCAAGATTGATGTTGATTTTTAGTTGGATAGAAATATTGTCGTAATGCGTGAACGAAAATATACTCTTTCAAAGAGAGAAATGAAAGGGAATGTACGAATTCACTATTTACGTTGAATATAATTTTTTTAAACAAAATTCATTCTTCATAATTTTTCATAAATTATTATGAAAGCTTGTTTTAAAAAACTTTTTTTCAATTTTTACATATTCTAAAAATACTGTGCTGATTTTTATTTGAAATACACACGATGAATGTGTTAAATGATGCAAGAATTGAAGAAACGATAAAAGCACAATCTTTTTCTACTGTAATCCGTGAAAACCTTCGAATAGCCGAGAATCTTTTGTTGAGAAAAGTAGAAGAAAGCAGAAGAAAATCTATATCTGAATGTGATATCGTTTATAAAAATATTTTAAATATGAAATGTGAAGTAGAATTCTTTATTTAACATTTAATAATTTTTAAAAATGTCTTATTACTTATCTTTTGTGACACAAGACGTATGAAAATGATTGCAAATGATTGTCGAATAGCAACGAATAAAAATCTACAATCTCGTAAAATACATTCCCTTTATAGTTTTAACTTCGTGAAAACTATACTGAAATTGAATAAATGATTATTCTTATTCCCTATTCTTTAATGTTAAAAGAATTGTAATTGCACATCTTTTAAAAAATAGATATGAATATGAAACGTATTACATAAAAGTAATTAAATATATATCACCATAAATACACTCTCAACGAAGAGGAGATTCAAATTTATAAAAAGAAATCGTTCAACGAGTAATTGAACAACCGAAGAAGAATGAATTCTATCAATTGAAAACTGTTTCACCTCTTTAAAATTGATCCATTCTACGATTCGATTTCATCCAGAATCTCGTCTAGAACTCCATCTACTTCATCTTTTCACCTTCAACAGGTGTTGCTTCAAAGAAGATAGACTTTTAGTAGAATAAACAAAGTGAAATTCTCACTACTTCGAATTACATAAGGAAATCGATTTTAGACGTTTTATTGCAATTAGGACACCGAAATCTTCTCTCTCGTAAGAAAAAATACTTTACCTATATCCCCTTTCCTGCTTATTAACAGACCGATTGGTTTATTCGATCAACAGGATTTTCCTGATCCTTCCTTTATCCAACATAGTATCCCTCCCTCATCCTCTATTCAGATCGTAGTCGATGATCCACAGATCAATTATCCAATTGGAAGAATAAACTTTTCTTTTCCTAGGCTGAGGAACAAGTAGAACCTTTTCTCTAGACCTCTGAGTCTATATCCGATGCTCATTGTTTGAGAAAGTGTTGTGTCATCTTAGAAAACATAGACAGATAAACTGGATAGCTATTAGGCTCTAGAACCGGCACCTCTTCATGATGAGAATCCGTGAATGATATCTATTTGGCCGTACAAATCACTGATGCACATTGAAGCGGTCTGTCGCCACGTGAAGCGCCTGGTCTCTCGACATCAAAAGTCTTCATCGAGTCCCCTTTCGTTTGAAACCGTCATAGCATCAGCACTGACTCATCGCAACCACTGTCCAGGTCTTAACGTAACCACTAAATCCCTCGGTTTAGATCTTAACACTGCTCTAACGTCTGATGCCACTTTAGACAAAAGTGTTGTCATCGTGAAGCGCACAAGTGGAAAGGGAAATGCTCGCGTAATCTGCGTGTTTCCGCAGAGATCTCGTTATCCCTTTGGCGGACACGTGTCTGACCAAGCTCGGATAAATCTTCGATCGCGATTAAAAAGGAACGAGCTTTTCGCTTTGTAACACGAAAAATTATGTTTTGATGGAGTCAAAGTGAATTGAAATATCGATGGAAAAAAAGGAATGGAAATAACGCTAGTTCGTAAGCCGGCTCGGATCGTAAAGGGGTTGAGAAACCGTTCTCGTGCGTATAAAGTCGTGAATCAGCGATCGAAGATCAGGAAGGGGCACACGCGACTGTTTGAAACGGGAGCGATTGTAAGTCCGCACTGCTCGGCCGCAATCACGCGCGACTGTCGACAAAGCTGTCGCGGTCACAACAAAACCTACGGAATAGGGGAACCACGAGGGGTGGCGGCGTCGCGGCGCGATGCGTCGAGACGACCTCGTGCAGCCGAACGAAGAAACTTGTCGATGGGGGTGGAGAAGAAAGTTCGAGATGAGAAAGTTCAAAAGGATGGTGAAATTGGAGGAAAGGGAATCAAATTATTTTTTTCTAAAATAAAAGATTAAATAGAGAGAAAGTGTTATAGAAATTATTGGTTAATTGTTTTTCTTGTTTCTTATCACCATTTATTATTTTTTTTTCCTGGCAAAGAATGTGATTTTGAATATTATTTGTGAATTATATGGGACAATATATATTTTTGCGATTGATTCGTTCATCTATATCATCTGTAAAATATTTTAATGAAAAGATTTATACATGTTTAAAATATATACGGTGTTTAGTGTTCTTTATTACCGATAGCAGAAACTTCAGTTTCTCTTTATCGCAATTGATGGTAAAGTTGGTATTTCAGATTTCCTATATCTCATCGTCGGTAAATAAGTTTCCTTCTTTTAAAATTATCCATCGATAATAGAAAAAAGTTTGTGATACAAAAAACAGAAAACTGTCTTATTTTTTAATTTAAAAAAAAAATCCTTATATTTTCATTTAGTACGTTTATAAATTCTATCTTTTTGCTACACATAACGATAGACCATATAATTCTCTCGCAATTGCACTTGGAGTAATCAAACTCAATCCATCAAACGTGAAAGAAAATACTTTTTCATAAATGTACTTTCAAAGAAAAGTAGAAGATCGTAATGCTTCTTTTTCACTATATATTGATTAAAATCAATATATATATATATATATATATTGGTCTTTGACTTGATTGATTCCATACGAAGATAAAAGTGACAAGAAATATCACTTACCCTAATGCTGGCCAATCCCCATCTGTCGTAGTTGTTGGAGCTGATGTGCTCTTATTTGGAAGACTCAAACGTGGACCAATTCGAAGTGTCATGGGACGTCTTCTACGCAGTGTGTAATCTATTACAAAATTATTAATTTGTTCTACATATACATTAAAAAAAAATACTCGTGGCCAATAGATTCTGATTTCATGTGTACACGTAATTAGTAAATTACATCAATTTGATCGATTTGTTATTCTTTTCCTCTTTCATCATGCCCATTTGCCCGCCAACTTGATCGATGCTTCTCAATCAGGATAATTGGATAAACGGATCTCGGATTAAGAGAAAGTCGAAAGATAATTCGAATTAATTGTTCCAGCACGCAAAATGTCAATCGAAACAATTGCATTTCCTTCGATTGGTTAACTCGAATTGAAAATGCAAGGGGGAAACGATAAATTCCCGTATATATCTCGAAAGATAAATAACGTGATATCTAGCGTGCTGATTCGATATTTCGCAAATAAAAATATTTCAATAATTGTATTCAAACGTTTTTGAAAAAACATTTTTTTCCTTTTTTTTTTTTTTTTTTTTGAACTTTTATCAACCTTTTAAACACGAAACAAAACATTTGAATTTAATTATTATTACGTACCACTACATAAAAAAAAAATTACATTATGCAAAGTATGTTTATGATTAAAGAGAAAAGTTTACCATTGGTGCAGCCAAGAGAATTCCGGCCTTGAAACACGTGAGGAGATAAATACTGGGGATAGTTGTTTGTGGGGGTTGTTGGTGTTGTTCGACTGTTGAGGACGGACATAGTTGTCCAAGGAGGTGCCGCATCTTTTATCACAGTTTCCTCTGTGGCGCTGGGTAGAACCTCGTTGGTTACCCGCACCTCTATCCCCACGGTCTGTAAAAATAGCAAAATGTTATTCGTTAATCTCTCGTTAAACTTGAATAAATAAATAAATAAATATGTATATGTATATGTATATATAAGAAATATTACGTCTTATTAATTACATTAAATATAATAAAAATAAGAAAGAAATGAACATTCTGAATGACAATTCAATATAATTTGAACAATTATTGTTAAAATATATATTGTAAAATTTCAAATTTGATAAATTAACCGATATAACAAATTAACGATTGATCAATGAATTCGTGTGTTCATCATCGGAATATTTGGCTTGGTTTGGCGCGAATCGCTGAAATCTAACCGATTTAATTATTTATTACACACAGGAGTCACTCTTTTGACCGTTTCAAAATCTATTCAATCCCCCTATTCAAAGAAACTTCTGATTATTAATTCAAATATTAAATTCGATATTAATTCAAATACCCGTCAAATTTAATACACGTGGCAAAAATCACGTTAAAATATTAGAGAGAATCGAAATTGCAAGAAATAAACGATATAAAAATACAGTCGTAAAACGCAACAAACCTGTTCAAAATACATGTCGTAAAAAACTCGTTTCGAGTTTTCATCTCAGGAAGAAGGAAATGACAAAAGGCTTTTTTGCTTCGATGAAAACTCTCGATTCGAGCGAAACAACGCGCGGAAGAGGGGAAGTTTAAAAATTTTTTTCCCCTGAAAAAAAATCTCTCGTCTCGTAATAAACATATATCAGAATCTCCAATTTCCTCCAGAAGGGATCGCCACGCCAACTTCCGTCAGAGAGACAGAGACAGAGACGAGAGAGAGAGAGAGAGAGAGAGAGAGAGAGAGAGAGAGAGACAGAGACAGAGAGAGAGAGAGAGAGAGAGAGAGAGAGAGAGAGAGAGAAGCATAGGATCCAAGGAGAGGGAGGGGGTGAGGGAATAAAAGGTTACGATGATCAAGCAGATATCGAGAGATCGTTTCCTTGAAGCCCTTGGGACCTTTCATCGTTCCATCATGGAAAGGAGCAGCCATTCTGTGAGGAAATGGTTCGCGTAAAAAAGAAAAGAAAAAGAAAAAAAAAAAAAAAAAAAAGGAAGGGAACAGGGAGGTAAAGGGTGTCTGGCGTTCCTCTGAAAGAGGAAAATGCAGAGATTCCTCGGCCAATTTTCTCGCACCGCCTCGATAACTACATTCCTCCTTCTCCCCTCCTCCCCCCTCGACATTAATAAGCTTCACTTTGCGGCTTCGTAAATAATTAAACGATACGATCCCACGATGGACTTTTAACGTTCCACTTTACAACGAATCACGGCTTGTTATATACTGTATAAAGTCGTATATTTTTATTATTATTGTCATTATTATTGGAAACAGTTGAAATTGAACTTTCCATAGATTTTAAATTGAACTATTGGATATTAGAGTTGTAAATCAGTTTATGAAGATATTGAAAATGATAATTTTTAAATTTTTCTTAAATTATATATCATATGTGTAAAGCAGTATATTTTTATTATTATTGTCATTATTATTGGAAACAATTGAAATTGAATTTTCCATAGATTTTAAATTGGATAATTGTAAACAATTTTTTTAAATTAATCTATGAAGATTGAAAATGATAAATAAAATAATTTTCTTAAACTTTTCTTTAGCTATATATCATATGTGTAAAGCAGTATATTTTTATTATCATTATTAAAGCAATATATTTTATTATTATTATTTTATTATTATCATTATTATTGGAAACAACTGAAATTGAATTTTCCATAGATTTTAAATTAGGATGATTAGAAACAATAATATTTCGTTTTGCAACGATTAAAGATATAAATTTATGAAGATATTGAAAATAATAAATAAAATAATTTTCTTAAAGTTTTCTTAAATTATATATCATATGTATAAAGCAGTATATTTTTATTATTATTATTATTATTATTATTAGAAACAATTGAATTTTCCATAGATTTTAAATTGGATAATTGTAAACAATATTTCGTTTAAATTAATCTATGAAGATTGAAAATGATAAATAAAATAATTTTCTTAAACTTTTCTTAAATTATATATCATATGTATAAAAGCAGTGTATTTTTATTATTATTGTCATTATTATTGGAAACAATTGAAATTGAATTTTCCATAGATTTTAAATTGGATAATTGTAAACAATATTTCGTTTAAATTAATCTATGAAGATTGAAAATGATAAATAAAATAATTTTCTTAAACTTTTCTTAAATTATATATCATATGTATAAAAGCAGTGTATTTTTATTATTATTGTCATTATTATTGAAAATAATTGAAATTGAATTTTCCATAGATTTTAAATTGGACGATTGAATATTTCGTTTCGCAACGATTAGAAATGTAAATCTATGAAGATATTGAAAACATGTTACACAATAATTGTCTTAAACTTCTAGATCAAAATTCAAATACTTCTCTCTCGCGAATTTTCTTTCTATCGTTGTCAAATTTCTACAAATTATTCCATTAAATATTTGCAACAACTTTTTCAATTCTCTTTCAAATTTCGAAACTTTCGTTCCCGAGGTGACCTTCGAATGACATTGAAAAGACCTTGACGGTTAACGACGTTACGTATACGAAATCTTCGATTAATATCAATATAGTATAGGATGGAGATTTACACAGTATATCTGAGGAATCTAGGTGGAAACTGTCGAGACGCAAAAAAAAAAAAAAAAAAAAAAAAAAAAAGAGAGAAGGAAAGAAAGAATTTTGCAAAATGGAGGGACATGATGGCTCGCTTTTGTGGAATTCAACAGGCTGAAAGCGTGATGCTCCACGTTCCATTCCAATGTTTCCAACATTTTTCGACCACCCACGCGGAGACGTATTGATTCGGCGAGTTCAGTCAACAGGTAGCCTGCGCTTTCACTGAACGCTGACGTTCTACGCACACCTGATCCCTTCATCCTCGACGCTTTCCATCCCCCTGCCGCGCTGTCTCGATTATTCATTGTTTTCAGGTGAAAACTACCTCACGACGATCGACTGTAATAGTTTCAAAGAATAAAAATTTATTCCAATCTTCCTTCTCTGTTCCGTCCTTGCTCTTTTGTTCGACGCTCTTTTCTTTCTATAATTGTTTCTTTTCCCTGAATTTTCCGTATCTTTTGGTGATTTTTTTTTTTTTTCTAAACAATTCTAATTTCATCTTTGAAAGAGAAAGAAAAAATACGAAATTGAATTTTAAACACCATCTGTGTATCTGCCACCTGGTGTCTTTATTGTTGTTCACGAAACAAAAAAAAAAAAAAATTGTGTACAAAGGAAGTTTTTGTATATATACATTAATTATAATGGGTTTGAATTAAAAAAAGAAAAAAAAAAAAAAACCGAAAACTTTCCAACGTTGCATCCCCTCGCGGGATTTCGCGTGTAGCCAATTCGGCAAAAAATAATTTTCAGCGTCAAACATTAGCATTTTCATAACCCCTGTGATAATAACTATATAAAAAAAAAAAAGAAGATCGTGTCGTAAAAATCGAAAAAAAATTTTCAAAAAACAGAGCGACGATATAGCTGCTGTTAACAACGAAATTGAAACGATATAATATTAATCTTGGAAAGGAAAGGAAAGGGAGAAACTGGTGGGTGGATGGCACTTTTGTTGTCTCGAAAAGTAAAAACGAACGCAATAGTGATATAATTCCCAAAAATAATTTCAACGAGATGGAAGAAAATCAAAGAAAAGATGATATGGGGACATTAGAATAAAGTTTAACGGGTAAAAGCGATCAGTTTCACCATGAAACGCTTCTCTCTCCAATTCCAACATCAAAATTCAATCCACAGGAAACAGGACAATTTCGATTGGAAATTTCACTCTCCAGAAAGATGGCGGTGAATGGAAAAGTTAAGGTAAAGAAATCGAGGAATTTTTCGAGGAATAATTAATATCGAGGAAATGTTCAAGGATAGAGCATTATCTGTTCATTCCCTGGAACAAATAACGATGGCAATTAAGGGCTGATCATTGCGATTAATGGAACGATGATAACGATGGAAATTAGCGTTCACTCGTCATTTAACGAAAGTAAATTAAATAATAACGTTCCCTCCGCTGCACTCTGCACGTTATTTGATAAAAGAACTTTATTTAACCTGCTGTTCAGGGATACATAAAACGCATCAAAGTTCGTTAATTTTGTAAAAAAAATTTTTTTTTGTTCTCGTTATTAAGATTATAATTTTGTTTTTCTTCTATTATTTTCAGAATACCAAAAGTAAAACTAAGATACAGATTCTATGGTTAAGTTAGAATTTGATTCATATTTCATGTATTAACGAATGCGTGTCTCGTGTTCTATAGAATAAAAATGCGAAAAACAGCGATAAAACGAAAGACAAGATCTATCGTGATCGAGACAAAGGTACGATACCGTTGTTATTGGAAAAGCATAAATAAAAATGCTACGAAGCTATGGAATATAAAAATCGAGGAATTGAATTTTGAATTTTAATTACGTTTCTCTCTTTCTCTCTCTCTCTTTTTATAAATAAACTCCATACGTGCACCTACGTAAATACGTAATAGAATATTCCAACCGATTTTTGTCAGCAAAAAAAAAAGAGGGGAGAGGGATGAAAACGAATAACTTTTGAATAATTTTTAAATAACTTCAATCGATCCACTTATCCATTCGTCCATTCATTAATTTTCGAAATATGAAAAAAAAAAAAAATGACAATCATAAGCACTCAAAATCGTAGCTATCAAAATCCTTTGCCCCGTTTCAAATTAACCGTGAACGTATCCAAGTCTGATATATTATCCCGATACAATATGCAAACGTGATACTCAAAATAATCACCTGATTCCTCGCACAAATAGTTATACGCTTAACCAATACCAATATAGGAAATCCTATTAAACGAATATTCCAAATATAAAGTAGAAGTGCATAAATCCCTCCTCTCCTATGATCCAAAATAATATCGTCCTCATCGTATCTCCTCTCAAAGATAATCGACGA